AGACAGCCCCAACACACAACTACAAGCATATTAATGTGAGTACATACGTTGAGCTGGCCCAAATAATAAATCTTTCAATTGATGAATGCATGTCTAACATCGTATAGGCCACCTCTGCTAGAGGAACCCGCTGCTATCCCTGCTGCGCCTGCCCCAGGCCCCATTCCTCCTGCGTCTGCGCCTCCGGTTGGACTATCCTCGAACGCACTGCTCAAGTTTGTTGCATCACACTCGTCATAGACAAAAATCATTCAACTCGCGATCGACGTTCAGACTGAGGTTGACCATAGACGTCTGGGGTTTGGACCCGGAGTCTACTCCGAGGCCCAGCAACGATCAATTCCTTGGAATATGGAACACCTTAAGGGAAGGCAAAGTCATGCCAAAAGGATCCACGAACTCCACAGGAGATACAGGCTGATACTGAGCCCTCGGGTTTATCCGCCGAACTGTTGATCCCAGATGGTTTCGTCACACGATTAACGACTATGTCTCCGGACGAAAGGATCGATGTGTCGTGCCCAATCCCGGAGCGATACCTTGATGATATCAGACCCATGGATTCCGCGGGTTCAGTGAACTGGATAGGATCCGAGCCGCCGTATAGCAGGATCGGGAGGAGGGCAGGATGTTCCAGATTTTTCTGGATGGTAACGTCCTTCCCTGGCCCGTTTCGATCGCTGATCCCAGAAGCTCACACATCTCCGGATCGCCACCAGCTTCCCAGGACTTCTGGATCGTGTTCATGGGCCGTCAACAGTGGGCTATTAATACCGTTGGACATTTGATATTTGATGGCCTCCGGACCTTCGGCTGGTGGGGTTTCAAACTCGAGCAGCTGGGTATTCTCAAGGCGGAGGATATCCCAAAAGTGGCCGCCACGCACTCCATACAGGGCAAGGAGTCGCAGCTTGTCATCTATGATTGGGTCATCTCGGCGCCGGCAAGATGTCAGATCTTGGGTTCACGGTGGATGATCACCGCGGAATGTGGACTCGCTCGGGTCACTGAAGCCATGCTAGAGTTGCTTTTGTGGCTGAACGGCCGTGGTGATTTTCAACAGGTGTACACCTTGGCTGGAGTGATATTATCGCGCTCTTAGCGGATATCGCCAGCAACTGTGTGTTGTTAGCCGCAGGGTGCGTGTAGCCACGCAGGCAGTTGAGAAATCACGGGCTGCTAATGACGGCAAACTACTCTCACCTGACAACCAAGGACCTGATAGATGAGTGCCCAAGCACTGCAGACTTCTCCATCTGCTGCCCCTGCGTGCAGGCGGGCCCTACTACCAAATACATGGCACCCCGCGATGGCTTGAATCTGGGTGTCGCCCCTAGGCGCCTCCTTCCAGTAGGGGTGAAGGAGTGGAAAGACACAGTTGAACTGCACCAATTGCTGAATATGACCCTGCTTCTCGGACACGGTACTCCGATCGAGGGCATCCAGACGGTCAGGGCATTTCCGCACTGTAACTTACTCATGATCGCTGAGGCTAGAAAGTGGCTTGATGCACGTGCGAGCATGGAGAGCGCTGACCAGAGTCTCCATACAGAGGAAATCGAAGCAGTCGCAGATGCTGCTAAGCACGAAAGGGTACCATTACAAATGATGCAGACCAGTTTGTGATCCTCTCAACCCGCTGGTGCATACGGAGTTCCCCCTGAGAATGTTGCTGACCTGGTGTTGATACACCAGGATATCACTTGCCTTTGGTAAGCTACCACTATTTATCAAGCAAGCATATAAATATAGCTAACTTTGGTAAAAACGCCCAGATGGCGCTGACTACCTCGTCCCACCGCCACCCCAGAACATCGACCGTAAGCGTCAATCCAACTGGCCCTCGGTCCTGGCGCGAGAACCCCGGACAACTGCTTCGGGTTCATCGTACCTGATACGGAATTTGAACGACGCATCTTTACCTGACAAGGCAATCGCGGGCAACTGAAGGCAGCGTCAGCAAGAAGAGGATTTTTACCTCCATTTATCTGCCCTCTATGGACTGTGGTATGCGAAGCAGGACAGGCTTGATTGACCGCGAGTGTTCCAGTGCAGCTGACCGGATGTTTACCTCCATCAATCGCTCGTACACACTCTCCTTTAAGATCCTCACTATTAATCAAGCCCCATTTGAAGCTGGGTATTCTGAATCATATCCTCGTCTCACAAGAGACAAAGATCTCTGGCTGGTGAGCGGCGCTACCACGTCAATGCGGACAGGGACGTTACCGATACTGGTCCCTCACTTAGGAGTCTCCCTGCCGAGGCCATTGAAGTTGAATAGGACGAATCGAGCCTGCTGTTGTCCACCGTGCTGCTAGGAAGAACCCATGGTTGCGTTTTGCCTTCAGTTGCGCCCTTCCCTATGCCTGATTGCAAGCGAACGTCTGCAAGGTCAGCTGGGGCTCCAGCATAATTAAAGAGCCGAATATATGACTCATATGGCGCGGGTGCCCCTGGTGGTGACAGCTAGGGGCACCTCGACTGGCGCGACATGCGTCTCCTCAGCCACCTTGCGTTTACCCCACTGCTGGATGATTACTACCGCCGGGCCGAGGACGAGACAAACATGATGACTACGGCCGTCGGGAAGAGTATTGAGCGTGGGGACTGGGGTTTCTCAGACTTTTGGTGGCGGACGAGCGAGGGGACACGCAACATAATTCCAACAAGCCGGCAGGTGGAGGTGTATCGTCTGATGGCTGGCACGGTCAAGCTGAGATACTTGTTGCGAATTTTCTACCAGAAGGTTCCCTTCACGGCAGGGCGGCGACCACGTTTCTTGTTATTGTCCATTGGCCCATGGTCATGTGAGTGGTTGAAATGTCCTATATTCGATCAGCGTCGACAATGTTACCATTAGGGTAATAATGGCAGATCCACCCCCCGCCATACCACCTACTACAGCCCAAGGCCTTCGTGTCGTTGACCGGCTGGGGCATCTCACCCCCAGGGACGCTTACTACGTCCTTCCTGTGATTATCCAAATGATATGTCTCCGACGGGACATGGGTGACCCCCTGGGCGGAGCCGTGAGGCAGCTGAGCTCTTTAACAAGGCAGACAGCAACTGTGATATGCTCCAAACATCATACCAGTGCAGTGCTCATGGCCCCAATCTACACAGACAGTGCAGCTGTGTAGTGCTATTGGAACCGCAACTAAACCTCAACACCCTGTTCCAAGCAGTGGGGCGGGTGCACCGCGCGGGACAGCGTGACGCTAAAAGATCTGGATTCTTTTTTCAGAACATATGGTATCAAGGTGGATAGAGTGTAACAATGTTGTCAAGGACACCCGCAGCTTGTGGCATCACTGCATGACTTTCTCAAGCCACTTGTGATGGCAGCCACGACGGGAGACGCAGCGGAGTCAGCTGATGGAGACGCGGAGGCCGAGGTCATCCAGACGCATGCAGGGGGTTGTCTCCGACGCATCCTGGGTTCGCCCGTGATATCCATATCATTGCTCCCTCGAAGAAATGATTCTTAAACGGCGAGGTCCTGCGCTGACCCATTGAATATCAGCATTTCGAACGCTTGCCATGTCTTCGTGTTATTCGACGAGGCTTGGAGAGGTTTACGAGGTTGTTGATCGTCAGATCCGAGCTTTGGGACAGTATTGTCGATCCCAAATGGTTGGCATTCAATGTGTGAGGTTGCAATCCCGGGAAGATATACCGGGTATGCCTGTGCGAGGAGCGGAGTCGTGGTCTCCAACGTGAACACCAAAGGCTGTCCCGGGCTGAATTCAGTCCAGTCGGGTCCGATTCCAAAACCTGAGGAGCCTGTGTTTGGACGTGTCCCTGATCAAGGCCCGGCCGTTAATGATGGCCACGACGACAACGATGATGAATCTGGCTGTAATGAATATGAAGCGACCTGGCCAGCTGGACTCATGTCACAGCACAACCAGCCGCAGGCACCAGTGGTCGCCGTCTACTCGCAATCAAACAATGTCCGCTACTTCAATATGTCATTGACCATGCACAAAAAGCCTGTCCTCCTTCACAAATGACTATCAAAAACGTGTTCTTTGAAGCCGAAGTCCGACGATGGATGGGTTCTCAGTCTGGACTACGATGGAGACGAGGGAGATGACTTACCTTACTACTATGCTCGTGTGAAACCGGCCTCGGAAGAACAAAATGAGATGTCCATTGACTCGCCCAGCACTGCACCAGTGTCATCTGCTCCATCCCACCCCCCGACTGCACGATTCCGCGACTTCATAGTCAAGGAGAATCTACGGAAGTTGACGTTGAAAGTCGCACACGCGCGGGGCGTATCGCCGAGCTGGAGTTCCTAGCAACTTACGACAACAAAGGCCAGAAGCAGAGCAATGGGCTACCAGGGGATGACATGCCTAATTCTCACTAATCAAGTGGTCCCTAATAAGTCCATTTTCTGACAGAACGGGAGAATTGTTGAAGAGGACATCGACTCGCAGAAGGGTCCTACGCGGTTTAAGTAAGTTATGACTCTACTCCTTGCGGCATAGGAACTAATTTTATCGATTTAGGTATCCTGTCCAATTGATCTTACGCAGACTTGAGGAGCATTTCCCTTTTCGCAATTGGTTGAAAGCATAATTGAAGGAGCTATACTAGAGAACTACAAGTATATATGGTGTTCCCTCAGTCTCTGCCACGAATCGAGTTGCTCTTGTATGTAGAAAGCCAATATGGCCTCAAGATCAACGAGTATCGCCCAAGCCGCTGTGTTCAATTCCTATTAAAACATCCAATAATCCTGGTCATCTTAAGTCATGGCACAATTGTGTATACCGATCGATCAGGTATGCCAAACAATCGATCATCTCGATCGCCGGGAAATCCATGACGTCAATCAAGCAGCTCTCCACGAGTACCACTTCTTTACGGGATATGTATATGAGACAAGTCTCACCAATTCAACAATTACTCTCACTATCAGCAATTAAAACAAAAATCTAGCCAAAATGGTAAAAGACAAAACCACTGTCATCGAGTATGTCCCGCCTCGCCCTCCACCAATCCCATCTAACCACTGCTCCAAGGGAATTCAACGACTTGGTCAACATGACCCCCACCGAACTCCGCGCCTGGCTCGCAGAAGAACAATCCCAGTCCTCAGGCTGGATGGGCGCGTCCGAGTCCGCGTCTGGCGAGACGGTCGGTCACAAGAGGTAATTTCTCCGACATCCTCCTATACTTACGTATTTGGACAGTCCTGAACAAAAACTGACCTTGACGGCCGAAAAAGCGGCCGCAGAATCGTGGAGATCCTCGAACATAACCCCTCCAAGGACCCGGCCGGGTACTCGGACGAGGATCTAGAGCATATGCGGAGGGTGGTCTCGTACTGCAAGCGGCATCTGGCACAGGAGGAGCATGCGAAGCGGGATACCGGGAGTAGGAGTTACAGGTCGTTGAAGAATTGGGGGCATGATGCGCTGAAGGAGTGAGTCAAGTCAGTTGATCTTTGATGGCATTGTTTGGCATGGTTGTATATGGAGACTTGGGTTGGGTTGCAGGACTGTGCTGTTTTACTTGTATGATCTGTCCTGCTTTTTGCCCGTCTTAACCAGATGAAGGAATATACTGCTGGCTATCTGTAATAGCAAGCCTTGACGTCCGGCCCTGTCATAGTATAGGGCATAGGGTTCATGCCGTTAGCTGTGAGAATCGATTTGCTCAGGTAAGGCTGGCATGATAAGGGGATAGCTATTCGCAGATATCAATGACACCCTTGTCCAAAACCGGACCAAAGGAGTTGAATATACTACAGGATAACGTCCATTCTGGCTTTCTCAAGAGGCATAGACTAGACTCTGTGGTGGCGATACCATCCTCAACTAGCTAATTGCCATGCTTTAACAGCTGTAGACAATTCAGAATAAAACACCAGGAACATTTCCGTCTCCTCAGATAGGCTACTCTAGGCTAGGAGTTTCATCGGCAGTTCGATCTGCCGATAGGAATACACCCCAAACCTTAATCCAGCGCCCAAGGCCATTCCTCAGAACATCGGAAATGCAGGTCGGTTGATGAACCAAGTGTCATCAACGAACTATCCAGTAGCTTATCGTCCCAATCTCTCAGAGAAGTGACAGAACGGACAGTTAAACCCATTTGGGAAGGAACGGCCGTGCTTGCGTCTGCGAGTCTGGGGCGGTTAGGGCTCTAGGACGCTGACTCCGGTTCGAGCTTGGTTGGCGATTTGTCAATGTGTCTGACTGCGGGCAGATTCCGTGGTCCGCCGTTTGGGGTAGATAGAAGATGTCTTAGCCAATGCTGGGCGCTGGCCCAGGCGCAGGAGATAAGAAGTTGATGGCTGGGGCGGTCCATCGTCTTGGTGGATGAGCTGGGGAAGTGGAGTTCCCGATGGGGAAATCCGGGGTTGCTGTGGAGCAGCGAGAGCTAGCTCCCCTCCTGCATGTAGCGTTTTTTCTCCGGGCATCGTTATTTCCCCGCTTTTAGCCTGTTCAGTGACAGCAGTCCTGTTTGTGGATTTCAAACAGTCGTAAACTTAAACTGGCTCAAACGCCACGTCGATATATAGGTAGACCGAGGTCTCGTAAAGTATAAACATCACCTTTCGGCAGTCCTGACTGCCGTGCGGAATTCCGCATTCTGGAAGACTTGTCTCTAGTCAATGATATAAGGGAGATCGGACCCTACGGGCCTACAGTGCTAGTCTAGCACTCGACTACGCCTTACTGCTGATGAAGAGTGAAATTGCCCAATATGGAGATGAATCATGATGAGGCTGTAAGTAACCGCAACTGGCTTACGAACAGCAAGCAGCGCTGACATGAAGCATACAGACGATCCATCAGATCGAGCAGCAGCTCAATACCAAGATCTATCCCGGAACGGAGATCATGGCTGATGTGGGCTCCGTCCACTTTGTCAAATCCTCCGACCGAGTGCTGGTGCCACAGCCCTCGCAAAGCCCTCATGATCCTTTGGTATATGGCCCATCCGTATGAATTTGTCAGACGAACGCTGACGTCCGCAGAATTGGAACAGGTTCTGGAAGATGAGTGCCATCTGCATGTCCACCGCAGTGTCGTTCAGTCAGGGTCTGGGACCGTTGGCGCTCGCGCCGATGTTTCCACAACTGATGAAGTCGTTTGATACCGATCTGGCGTCCGTGGTCAAATTCACCGGCATTTGCATTCTCGTCCTTGGTTTCAGTAATTTCTTCTGGTGCGTCCTCGAGAGTCTCGAAAGTAACAGGTGGCTGACTAGGTTGAAGGGTTCCCGTCCAGGCAGCTTTCGGTCGACGGCCGGTCCTCATCTTTTCCATCCTTGTCTGTCTGGTCAGTAACATATGGCGAGCGGTCGCTACTTCCTATGGGAGTTACATGGGAGCATGCATCCTGAACGGTTTCGGAGCTGGGCCTGCCGAGGTAGGAACACTCGCAACGACACACGACTTCGTGTTAATCAGGATGATAGTCAGCCCAACCTGAGATCATTGCCGACATCATGTTCCTGCACGAGCGAGGAGCATACAACACCCTATACTTCACCGCCTATTTTGGTTCTCTCATGGTAAGCATGATGCTCTCATGGTGTCGAACCCACTGACTTCTCATCTAGGTCGGTCCAGTCATCGCCGGCCCCATGGCAGAACACGTCGGCTGGCGCAGCTTCTTCTGGCTCAACACCGGCGTCCTCGGCGTCGTCCTCGTAGCCCTCGTCTTCCTGTTCCCCGAAACCAAATGGCACCGCGCCCACCCCTCCGAGATACAGGATGGTCCAGAACAGGTGGAGACTCCCTCGTTGGCCTCTGAGCCAGAGAAGCCGGCGGAGGTCACCCTGCAGCAGGAAAACGTCGCATCAGAGAGCGGAGGAGATCAAGACCCTTGGCTGGGAAAGGGCTATCCATCCAAACAGCAGTTCATGCTCTGGCAGCCGTCAGACAACTATCTCAAGACCTTGTGGACCTGCTTCTGGATCCCGTGGAAACTGCTCGCGTTCCCCATTGTCGAACTTGCTGCCTTCACCGTCTCGTGGTCCGCCAGCTGCATGTTGACCTTGAACCTCACTCAGAGTCAGGCCTTTGCCGCTCCTCCGTACAACTTCAACAGCCAGACCATCGGGTTCTTCAACTTTGCCATTATCGTTGGGGCCGCCATAGGCTTGGTTACCAACGGGCCTTTGTCTGACTGGATTTCGATGAGGGCCACCAAGAAGAACAGAGGTATTCGGGAGCCGGAGATGAGACTGCCAGCCATGATACCTTATGTGATCATCATGATAATCGGCAATTGCGTCGTGGCGTTTGGCTACGAACACAAATGGGATTGGAAGGTCAGTTGACAGCATCCCGTTGAAAAGCGACTCAAGCTAACTGCATTTAGATTATTGTGATAATCGGCTACACTTGCGCTGGCATTCAGGTCTGCGCTCTTCCAGCCATTACCAGCACCTACGCTGTTGACAGCTATAAGCCCGTTGCCGGCTTAGTCTTTGTGGCGATCACAGTCAACAAGAACCTGTGGGGGTATGGATTTTCTGAATTCATCACCCCGTGGGTGATCAAAAGTGGTTTCATCAGCCCAATCATGATGAACATGTCTTTGACCACCCTCTGGTGTCTTTGCGCCATTCCGGTCTATTTCTACGGAAAGCGTTTCCGGAAGTGGACTGCCAAGTCATCAGTTCACAGTATGTAGTTCCATGTCATTGATGGAGGTAGCGCTGGATGCTTTCCGATTCTCAATTCAGATGAGTTCATGCAATGAATACTTAATCCGTGATCTTCAGCATGTAGCGATACGTGCGAACGTACTCGGGGCACTATACATCAATCACATCATTTCGTCGTCGTCAGGGTCGTAGAGATCAAGATCCAGAGTTGCCTTGGGCTTCGGCGCAGGCGCTGCTGCGGCTGTAGTTCCGCTGCTCGCCGCGCCTGCTTGAGCTGCAGCCTTGGCGGCCTCGTTTGCATGCCTCCTTTCCTCTCCCATAGGCTGTGGTGCAGGAACTACCGGCTCTGTAGATCCCAAACCCTCGGCCTCGCGTATTAATCGTTCCACCTCCTGATCGGGATCGAACCCTGGCCGACCTTCCGCAGCGGTCAGCTGTATCTGACCCATCAAACCCATTCGGATACGGTCTTCCATCGGATATGGGATCATGTAAACCTGGCGGGTCATCTTCGCCGATTCATCGAGCCAAGATGTCGCTTCCTTCGTGACGGATGAGACCGGTTCTGCGCCTTCCTCAGCACCAGGTCCACCATTTACACCCGTCATTGCCATGTCCTGGTCGCCAGGTTGTAGACTTCTTCCCCGTGCTTTGGCGGCCTGTGTGGCGTTGGTAGCTGCATCCGCCGCGGCCTGGTGGTTATACTTGCTAATCCGTCGCGCAAAGTCCAGCAGCAGCTTGTAATCAATTTCCTTTGTTTTTCTCAGAGCGCCCGGCTTGGTTTGTATTTGATCGCCGCCATAAGCCAGATCATCATCATCCGAAACGTCATCCGCATCCGAATCGCTCGGCTCGTCGTCGCCGCAGATCCTCCGAATCTCCTTCTCGTAGCCCACAACGTCTCTCACAATGCCTTTGACCTTCTCCTCCAGACTCTCAGCTTCCACGCG